GCCTGTGATGTAAGCGTCCAGTGACAGCCCTTAAGCACTAGAGCCGATAAACAGGTAAAACGGAGCCCACCAAATCCTCGCACGCACCTTTCCGGCTACACGACACTCTCTAGTTCCTGCCTCACCCCAAACCAGCACCTGCTCACTGACTTCCCCCCTACGCCTGTTCTCTATAAAAACACAATCTCTCTTCACTCCCACTGAACCTCGCTGCTTCTGCACGAGACACACGTCTGTGTCTTTATTCCTAAGTCTTGCTGAACTTCAGAAAGATGTGGCATTCCTTAGGAGCAGACCCCCTCTGTTGGAATTCTGGAAGAACTGGGGACACGATTTCAAAGGCTTTCCTCAGAGCCACAGGAACTACTGAAATAATTATCACAAAACGGCTCCACCTAGTGGGCTCCCATCTCCTGTCAAACATGTCTCAAAGTTTCTAAAATTGAGGTTTTGGAAATAAACCTCTACCGCTCGTTTTCCCCAAGGCCAACTCAGACAGCATTTGAACCTCGCAGGTCAGGAATAAAGAAAAAAAATCACTTTTTAGCAGTGGAATTTTTTTTTTTCAAGTTATCAGTGAGAAGCTTTAAGGTTTTAATTAACCTTACAATACAATGGGCACCTCTGAGTTTGGCTAATCTGAAAAAAATAAAAATGAAGAAATAAAAGCAAAGGTGTACTTTAAAAAATAAATAAATAAAGGAGCAATAGACCAATCAAATCTTAGAGTTTTCTTCCAGCTCTAAAATGCTTACTCCACGAAAAATCCTTCACAAGATTTTCTAACACAGCAATTACAAACTCTTTAACTTTCTTTCATGTCAAAAAATACAGTAGCTTCCTCAGAAAGAACGTAGCTCTCACAAGAAAAATAAAATTCAAGATATAAGGACTTTCCTGGCATATCAATGTGAAATTTAGTCTTTTAGGAGTTCAAATAACATTTTAAAAACATTGAGAATAACAGAAATTTAAGAAAGTGAATGTATTTTCATAATAGGTTTTTTAAAAACGCTAGTGGAGAGAATGTTAGTCTATCTTTGAGAAATCTATCAAATATGCCAAAAGAAATGTTTCCCATACTTTTTGTTAATAAAGTACACTTATAGAAATAATATCTTAATACGTTAAAAAGCCAGAACTGGAGAACCAAGATATCAAAGAACCTCAGATGAGTTCAGCAAGCAACAAAAGATAACTTCAGAACACTTTACTAACAAGGCGATATCACAGGTACAAATAAACTTGATCCAAAATCGTCATCCTCACCCAAGTTCCTCATTCTCTTCAAGCATTTCATTATTTCACAAATCTCACCTCACTTATTCACCTCCTAGATTCTGCTCAGTCTTCCCCAAGGTACTCTGTGCCCTGTCAGTCATACCTTCAGCCTACATTCTAGAAACTATAAGTAGACTCCCTCCCATCTGCCCCAGCCTGTCCAACACAAAAAGAATCACCAATAAGCGAGTTAAACACCTGCTCGTCTGTCCTTTATTCAGAAGGCCAGAGCTGCTTCCAAACACCAGAGTTTGGAAAGCCAACAAGCTTTCAACTTCTCCGCCAAGCACTGAGGCAAATGCTCCTGCCGCCTGCTCTCCCCTCCTCCCCGGTGTTTTATTTGGGGGTGTTCCATCAACTCTGCTGTCACTAAAGGTGGCCAAGCAACCCACTTCCGGCCATCGAGAGCTACAGCGAAGTCTCCTGGCTGCAGCTAGAAACAAAGTCATTGTTTTCGTAGTGAAAAGGGGCAAACTCGGCCACAGGTGCCTTTTGCCTCGTTCTCTTCTTCCTGTCTAGACCGAGGGCTTAGTGTCTGGATATGCGGGAACCTTCTGGGGGACGCGAGGATGGAAACTACCGACTAAGGAGCACCGGGCGCGAGCCTGTGCCTATCGGCGCCGCGGAGCAGCACCGCCAGCCTGGGACTTCATTTGTTTGGGAAAAGTCACCGCCTTCACGCTGAGCCTCAGAGTAAGGTCGCTGCTCCGCTCACAGGGGCACAGCTGTGACGGTGCAGGCACCATGTATCTCAGCCATCCTCTTCCATCTGATGCTTGCATCTCGATTTCAAAACCCACTGCCAAAAAGGTGTGGCAGTGTCTCATGAAGTTAAACACGTGCCTATCACGTGATCGCCCCATAACACTCCCAGGCATTTACCCAAATCCGAGAAAATCCGAGTTCTAAACAAAAGCCTGCACATCAGCGTTCGTGAGGCTTTACTCGTCATCACCAAACACTGAACACGTCCTGAAGGTCCCTCAACCAGGAAATGGATAAACAAACAAATACATCCGCATAATGGAACGGACAACAGCAACGGAAAGGAAAACGTTACTGCTAAATGCAGCGACCGAAATGAATCTCAAATGCGCTGTGCTAAGTGAAAGCGTCACACTCAAAAGCTGCAGACTGTATGACTCCAAGTATCTGATGATCTGCAAAGGTGTGAACGTAGCGACGGAAAATAGACTAGGGGAGGCCAGGGACTGAAGGTGGGGAGAAGCCGACCACAAAGGGTGCAGGGGGTTTTGGGGGTGATAGCACTTGTCAGAACTATGCATTAAAGGGGGTGCATCTCGCTGTATGTATAACGCATTAAAGTGAATGGAGGGGAGGGGGCGGGCACTACACCTCGTACGAGAAGTCTTACAAAACAAAGTGATGGCCCTGCTTTCGAAAGACCCCACGTACCCCTTGACCAGAAATTCTTCTCTCTACGTGGTTAAACTTAACGCTTCAGGTGAGTATGGTCTCACGCCCACATCACAGAGTTATTCTACATCTCATTACAGTGAGAGTCTTAAAGGCAAGGGTCTGCTCCTCTCTGTTTTCAGCAACCTTGGTCATATATAGTAAAATCTTTGCCTTTTCAATGCTGAATGTTCACATCTAATTATCAAACTAAACATCTGTCAAGACATCATTCGAAGATATCATAACATACATTACACTAATACAAAGGTTGCTGAGATTTCTCTTTAACTTGGAAAATCAAACTAGTCTGCTACTAGGGACTATATAAACGCATGCTACCTAAACCGGGTCGCGTCTTCAAATTCCTTAAGTCCCTCTAGCCAGTGGAATTCTTTCATTTAAAGCACTCACTGCTACAGCCATGCCACCCTGAACATGCCCAATCCCGTGTGATCTCGGAAGCTAAGCAGGGTCAGGCCTGGTTAGTACTTGGATGGGAGACCACCTAGGAAGACCAGGTGCTGTAGGTGTAAATAAATAATAAAGAAATTAAATTAAATTAAAAAAAAAATAAAGCACTCACTGCACAAAACACCAAGGGTCACAGCTCACATTCATATGGGGAATGCTACTTTAGAAAGTGTTACATTTAATACGATCAATTTGGTTTGTCTCAATGACTGTCCAATGTAGTGAGAATTTCATGGTCAAAACCACAGCAGTTTAAGTAGCATTATAATATTACTAATTTATAACCACAATTATTAATCACATACACATTTCTGCCCAATTTCTTTAAAAACAACAAATGTGTAGTTATGTATCAACATTTATAAGCATTCCTATGACACCATAAGGTGTTAACAGAACCATGTAAAAGATGGTTCTTACATCTGTAAAGCCTATAAGTTATTTTTTTTAAAGACACGCGTGCAAAGAAGTTCATCAATAGGACTGTAATAAGGGACATCTGTGCTTAAAAGGTGACGATATCAGACACCGAGTTCAGAGAAGGGCAGGATATTCCTGTAGACAGATGAGGAAAAATATCTCCAAAGCGGCAGGATTTCCGCTGGGCTAAAGCAATGAGCAGAATGTCGGAGATGGAGAACATACGAGTTTCTAGAAGCAGCAGCTTGAGCAAAGTCATTATTTTGAAGAACTCAGCTTTGCCACAGGAGAAGAAAGTTATTTCACGAGTTTAAACTCATTACTCACTTTCTTCTTTCTTCCCTCCATCTTGCAATCTCCTCCGGAGTGTCTAACTTGATCTTCTTCATACCAGGAGCGTGCATCTAGGGGGAAAGAGCCTACTGAACGCCAGGAAGCACATTTATGCTTCTGACTAAACTCAAGTGTTACGGGGAATAATGGAGACTCCATACCCGACATTACATTTCCCAGCTGCGAGAATTTTAACACTAAGTAAGCAGGCTTTATCCATCTTTATTGTGACTCTTCCTTTAAAAGATAAAAAACAATTGCCCGTGTATTTAGATTGGTGCCGTTGACAAGGAAAAAAAGTAATGTAATTTTCATTACGAAGTAAATATGTCACCCATTTCTCAGATGGCATTAAATACCCAAATGAACGCCCTAAAAAGCAAAATTGAGGAATAGTTAAATAATAAATACACAAAATAATGTGAAGCAGCATGGTGTAGAAAAACCACCACAGAATAAGAGTCAAAGAACTCAAGTGCAAGAAGGAGTTCTGCGGCCCAAGGCAAATCATCATTTTATCCGTTAAGGGGGCCAATGTTTACCTACTTTACATAGTGGTTTATGAGGATGAAACTGAGTCATAAATGTAAAGGTGCCGTACAAAGTACGAAGTACTGTATGGATATTACTTATAATGATGCTATGTAAATGAAGAGCTGTGAGGAAAACAGATCAGTGATATGAAAAGAGCATGTATTAAAAAAATGCAACAAGTCTACGGCCGTGCCACCCTGAACATGCCCAATCCTGTCTGATCTCTGAAGCTAAGCAGGGTCGGGCCTGGTCAGTACTTGGATGGGAGACCACCTAGGAAGACCAGGTGCTGTAGGTGTAAAAAAATAAAAAATAAGAGATTGTAAGCTGACAAGGTCCTTGCAATCTGTGATGTCAACCAAGGGTTGCCTTGCCTAAAAAATAAAAAATAAAAAACGCAACAAGAACTTACATTTCTCCAATGTAAAGAGACAATCTTCTCATGTGCACTGAAAGAGCAATCTGCTTCAGGACACTGTGAGAGATAAAGAAAAACGAAAGAAAGGGAAAAAAGGCTATTCCATGTTTTACATATTAAACATACCCTAGAAGTACATACACGGACATATTCTGGTCCTATCACCATCTACGTGGTGTCACCACTGCATAGTTAAATCAACAACATAAAGATCACTCCAAGAGTTGTATTTAAAAAGAAATGACATTCTCGAAGTATACGATACGGTGACACAAATCATTCACTTGTCCACTTGAGTGAATGCATGACATCGCCAATGATGTCAAATGTTCTTTATTCCTGAAGTGGGAAGCAGTCCCATAAACTGAGAGGAACTTTTCCAAACTGAGAACTTCTTTTTTAACTTCTTGACTTCTCGGTTACTCTGGTTAAAAATTTTTAAGTACCTCATGAGGTCCAGACCACCCTCAGAGTGTGATGGGCCACGGCAAATTATTCAGTGTAGTTAAATGGCCAAGGGCAACGTCAAAGGGAAAAGCGCTCAGAAGGTGCACGGAGCCACTGGGGGCGAGAACCAGCCCCTGGCAAAGCAGAGGCACCTCCCCCGCACACACTAACAGCTGCCAGACCTCCCTTCTTTGCTGCCATCTCACCTCGCCCTGAAGCAGGGGGCTCCCTTACCCTCAAACTGCAAATCCCAGGGTCACTGTCCCAATCTGTTAGGTCATCTGACATTTCTATGAATTATAAACTTTTAAGGAAAAGCAGCTCAGAATTTCTACCAAATATACCCATTTTGCTAAATAAATTTGAAGACAACCAGGAAAACCTACTTTCGTATGTTCGGACATATGTTTGTCATACTTTTCTTGATTTTTAAAACCACGATCACAAGTATCACAAAAACAGTGAAAAACTGGTTCTTTTCTTTTCTGCAAAAAAAAGATTGAAGAGGCATTACGCTTTTAATAAAAAATTTTTCATCAATAATAAAAATATAATTATCTTTCTAGTAATACATACTTGGATTGTTCACATGCCCTCATACGTGGGAGAAACTCTTGAAGACATTTCTAATTAAGGAATAATTCTGTTCTTTTATTTTTAGCAAATATATTAGAAAAAACCAAGCACAACAAAAATTTTTAAATCTGAGTAGAGCTAATATAAACCGAGTAGACTGCAAAGTGATAATCTAATTAAGACTTAGTAGAGTATATGTCAAGATGATCTAAAAATAAATATTCAGCGTAAAAACAGCATTTCATCTTTAAGGAAAAACAACTATATATTGTAAAACCACAGAAGGGGAAAGAACATTTAGGTGAAGATCAGTTCCTTTTTGTTTCCACTTTGCGAGTTTAATGCTTAAACATAAAACAAAAAAGTTACGATAATAAACTATAGAGGACACTGTCTCCAACTGTCTAATGTTGAGATAATAAGTATAATATACTTTCATGACATTTTGTTAATATTAGCTACATATATTTTCATGTCAAAATAAAGGATACTAATTTCATACTTTAGACTTTACTGCACTTATTCTAAACTAAGCCATTATTTATACAGTTTTGAAGCTGAAAGACCAAATGACAAACTACATCGGAATAAAGGAAGCCTATTTTAAGACTTGGTTTCTGAATATGACCAAGAGTTGTTCCTCATTAAAAAAATACAAGACTTTTAATTCCTTCTCCCCCCTACCAATCTCCTAGAAATACACATATATTATACATAACTTGTATACATTATATATTTTTACTTCATTGAGGTTTAATAACACATTTATCTATAGTCATAATTCTCAATTACATTCACTCCTGATACTATACTAAAATGGAGTCAATGTTTCCATTTTCTAAAATTTCTCCACTTATTTCTCAAAAAGATTTTGCCTGAAATTTTTACTTACAGCTAAGACGCTCCAAGATCCTACTGGAGCAAAGCTCCACCGTGTCGATAATGGATGCAAAACACAGAGTTATGATAGGAACACAGGACATGAAAGAAGCACACAGGGAGCAAAGCGTAACATTCAAGCACATCTTCAAAAATACCTTTTTTTTCTGTTTTTTACTGGGAGGGAAGTTGAAGTCAGTGAACTTTGCATCACATTTTCGTGGAAAATAAGAATGTTTAACTGAAAAACAAAAAGATCCATAACTGTTTGCAACTATACAATTATTTAAAATTGTACTTGCTATAGCATGTCACAAATACTTGAGTAACCGTGATAAACTACCCCTTCTGGGAAGAATAGTAGTTTAAACAAATTAACAAAGATTAGAACTAGTCCACTTAATTCAGATTTTTCAGATACAGAGGGTAAGATCAAGTGGCCATAGAAGCTTTAGGCATCCAAGTAATGGACAAGCAACCCTGATAAAATTCCCTGTAGTTATTTCAAACGTTAGAGACATAAACAGTAAAACCCCTATTCAGCACCAATTTTATACCAGGAAAACAGAACGTTGTGAAATTCACTTTCCCTCAAATTCTTTTCCTTTCTTACTGCAAGGACCCAACTCTGAAACCCTGAGCTTTTACCTAGATTACTCTGACAGCCTCCCAAATTGTCTTCCAGTTTCCAAGTCCTCTCTCCCAACTGACACCACGAAAATAGTCCTGAAATCGTCACACTCCTGCTCAAAATCTGCAAATGGCTTCCTAGAGTCCTTCGATGAGATCCCAGTTTATTTCTACACTCTTCCCCCATGCCCTACACAGATACGGCCCCAGTCACACCAGAACACCGCAATCTTAAGAACTCACCTTGTACTGACTTCCCTTTGCCTCTACCTAAAAACCATCTTTCTAAACATTTCCCAAGACACATCTCCCAAAACCTTCTCCTAACTCCTCCACACTATGAAATTGCCCTGTATGTGCTTCCATCACTAGGCACACTGGACTGTGATTTACATTCATGAACCCACCTCACCTGGCTCAGGAGTGCCTTAGGCACGTTCGTATTCCCAGCACTTGGCACACAGTAAACACTGATTTGGATCCAATTTAATGTAAACTGAAATCCTACGCAGCGTTGGAGAATGGTTTCAAGTGAAGAATCTCAGGGCTTTAAATATGATCTATGTGCTGATGACACCCAAATTTACAGCTCCAGCCACAAATCTTCCCTGAAAGTACAAACTAATAGCTAACAGCCTATTCAGCATCTCTATTTGACGCACGCATATTCCAACTCCTGGTCTTCTTTCCAAATCTGCTACATCCACATCCTTCTACTTGTTTGGCAAACAACTTCTAAGTTATCGTCGTTTTCTCTTTACCTCACTCCCCATCTCCTATTCTTCAGCAAACTGTTTTGGTCCTACTCTACCTTCAGAACATATCGAGAATCCAGCTACTTCTCATCACCTTCTGAGCTCCACCCTGGGCCAAGTCCCTAATACCTCGCACCTGGAGAACTGCAATAACTTCCTAACTGGTCTCCTTTCAGTCAATTCTCATCAGTAGCCACATTAATCCTTTTAAAACATAAATCAAATCACACCGCTCCCCTGCACTACCTATGTCAAAGTCCCATCATCCACAAGGCCCTAACAGGTCTGCTCTTCTTCCTCAGTTTTCTACAATTCTACCCCAGGCTCAGTCCTCTCTGGCCACACTGGCTACCATCTGATCTGCAGCTTCTGCATCCAGACCTCTGCCTGTATCCATATTCCCCCAGATGCATCCTCGGCTGATCCCTCACCTCCCTGAATTCTTTGCTCGAACGTCACCTTTCCTAACGACTATACTGACATTTAAAACTGTACTCCCTATCATTCTTCTCTGCCATCTCCCTCCACAGCACTCACTGCCTTCCAATACACACTGCTTCATTTGTTTATCGTCTGTCTTCCCGCACCAGAGGATAAGCTCCATAACGATCGGGATTTTCGTATGTTTGGCTCACTACTATATTCCCAGTTCCTGACACGTGGTTGCAATTCATGCTAAATTGAATGAACAGAGGAGGAAAACATTCCTGTCGGACAAACCGTGAGACAGGAACGAGCGGACTCCAAGAGTGCAGCGCAGAATCCCAAGTGCAGAGAGAGAGAGAGAAAGGAGAGAAAAAGAAGACGGAAGAAGAAAAGAAGAAAAGTGGGGGGCGCGGAGAGGAGTGACAACCTACCCGCAGGGTTGTGGGACTTCTGATGCAGAGGAAATCTGCCAGGAGACTGTCTCCAGTACCACGATGTCGAAGCCTGGAAATTCCAGGAAGGCTGGCCGTTGATTTGAGGCTGAGAATCGAGGCGGGACTGGATGTCGAAGTGGGGCTGCGCTCCGGGAAGAATCTGGGCGTCGAAGCCGGGAGGCGCCTGGGTCTCCTTGGGGGGCTGCGCCTCGGAGGAAGGCGCTGACCCTGCGGCGGGAGGCAACGACGAAGGCGGTGGTGGCGGCGGCAACATCGCCCAGAGCATCCAATTGCCCGGCAGCGGGGCAGTGTCGCTCGGAAGCCCCAACCTGGGGGTCGGCTCGGGGGCCGAAAACCAGCGGGTGGGCGTCACGAATTCGCTAGCCGGCTCTGCCATGCCACCCGCCCGGAAGAGAACGCAGCGTGCGCGTGGGAACCGGCCTTACGCGTCACTTCCGTTACGCGGCTCAGCCAACCACAGGCCGACACGTCATTGGTCGGCGCCGGAAAAATCTTTCTGCGTTTGCGACGGATCGCTGGCTGCCTTGGAGGTAGGTTTGACTCGGCGGTGGTAGGTTTGTGTGCGTGACCAGCGATCGCCCCCGCGCATGGCGAGGGATCTAATCGGGCCGGCACTGCCGCCGGGCTTCAAGGCCCTGGGGACAGCGGACGACAAGGAGCGGGACCCCAGCCCCGGTAAGATGCCGCGCGTCCCCTGCTGTCCAGGCCTCCCCGGCCGCCCTTCTCCTGCCCGGCCTCGCTCTTTAAGGCCTGGGAGGACGGAGGAGTGGGGAGTGGGCGCAGGCAACCCAAGCTGACCTTCCTTCCCAAGCCGTAGCAGTGGGGAGAAGGCCTCGGAAGCGAGTCTTAGCCTGACAATCGTTATAATGATGAGGTGTTCCTATTTAGCGCTAAGTGGCCTGGACGCTGTGCCAAACCGTCGCTACGCATTCACTCGTTTAATCCTCCTGGCAACTGTATAAGGTAGAGGTTGTGATTGCTGTCCCCGACAGAAGGTCCAAACCTGTGCAAAAGTTTTACAAGGGTTTAGTCGAGCCAAATTTTCGAGCACATGCCCAGAAGCGAGATCTCAGCGAATTGAGAAAATGTTCTGGAGAATGGCAGTTTTGCAGTTCCTTTTGTGTTTAGAGTTGAAGGAGAAAACCTAAGGAAGGTACATGAAATTCTCTTAAATTAGGGAGGCGGGAGAAGGCAAAGCGGGGCAATCTCTAGGAGAGATTAAAAACAAAATGAAGAAATACATACTTCTTTTACATTGGATACAGGATGATTAGTTAACATTTACAGTACAGAGATGGTATGTGGGGAACAAGGTAACAATGAGAGGTCTGTGGTCTTGTGCTCTGGTGCCTGCGGTTGGGCCTTTGAGGGGTCTAGTAAAGAAAATTGCTCTGACTGTTCAAAGGTGTGTTATCCTAGATGCACGAGAACAATGGACAGGACTCACTTAAGGTAAAGATTGGCCTTTGCTAAGGAAGCTGTAGGCTCGGGACGTGGCTACCCACTATGACCTGCCGGGTTAGGAATTTGTGATCACACCATCCCGTGTGGCTACTTTTGGTCACTAAGCTTGTCAGGCCTGCCATGTGACCCTCCCTGAGCTCGTCAGGTATATTACATAGCCCCTTTTTGGTTCACATTTCCATGTGACAGTGAGGGACACTGAGGTCCGGGCTGTGGCCCAGATCATACACCTAGTAAGTGGTAGAGACCAAATTAGAACAAAGCCGGCCCTTTTACCCTCTGCGTCATACCATCTTTCCACGTCCGGCGCCCCTGGCTCTGGGAGAAGATGCTTTGCTCCCTAGCCCCCGACCTGCCATCTTAGCCTCTCTAGTCTGTCACTGTATCAGATACACACAGCCCAGTGCTCAGATTTTCCAAGTTTCTGTGCAGTTTCTCGATTCTCTAAGTTCCTTCTGGCTTCACTCTGCACTTCTTGCCATATGTGACAAACTCCTACTCCATCCTTAAAGGCCAAACTTAAATGTCACCTCAGTGAAGCCTTCCGGACTCTCGCAAGCATTGTCACTCCCTCCTCTTTACCCACAGTTTTTTTTTTTTTCTATTTAATTACATCACATACTTTTATATATTTTCTAAAGATGCACATGATAGGCCAAACAGTGACCCTAAGCCAACAAAAAAAGGGTAAATAACTTTAAGAATATTTTGGTTAAGAAGAAAATATAGAATTTTCGAAAGCTGTGGCCTTCATATGTCATCACATCGGGAGGCTCACAATACCTGAATGTCTCAAAAGTGAGTTTCAAACCGAGCTCTGAAAGGTGAATACAGTTATTGAGCCTAAGGGGTGAGAGGGAGCTCTGAGACTGAGGGAACGACTTATATGTAGACTTCGGGGTGAGGCGGAACATGGTGGGGTCCAGGAACAGAGAAGATCAGTAACAAACAGAAAGCAGGAGGGCACGTGAGATAGCACCGCTGCCTGAAGGCCCACATTCCAGCAGGAAGGCAAATACGCGGGACCTCAACGACAAGGTTAAGGACGTGGTGGATTTTCAGAGCGGCACACAGCAGCGTGCTCCTGCACACCCCCATCTAGTCACCAGTCCCTCCAAGAGTAACTGCTTTCACGATATCTAACAGTGTTGATCATTTGAGCCTGGTTTTATACTTTCATAAATGGAACCATACAGCATGTATTTTTCTGTGTATAAAGCAATGTTAAGAGCCTTGAAAAAAGGTCTGACATTAGATTTGCATGATCAGCAGACTTCTTTGATCGCCCTGTGGAGAATATACTGGCGACGAGTTGGAGGAAGGACTGTAGTCGATGCAGGGAGTTCAGTGAGCAGGCAGTTGCAGTAACGAAAGTTGACGGTAACTTAGACCAAGGTGGCGACGGCGGAGGTGGGTGTAGTCATTATCTGTTGGTGCGAGTCTGTTGGTGCGACCTTGGCAGCTTTACTCGACACACGTTTCTCACACGGTCTCTGAGTCAGGCATCTGGGAGCAGGTGAGCTGGTGGCTCCAGCTACAGGTCTCTCACGAGGTTATAGACAAAGTGCCATCCAGGGCCGCAGTCATCTGAGGGTTTGACTGCGACTGCAGGAACTTTTTCCAGGTGGCTCACTCACACGCCTGGCAAGTTAGCGCCACCGCTGGCAGGAGGCCTTGATTCTTCCTGCGTAGGCCTCTGTGTGTGTGTGGAGGTGGGGGTGGGGGTCCTTGAGTGCCCTCCTGGCGCGGCACTTGGATGTCCCCAGAGCGAGCAATCCAAGAAAGTAGAAAGTGGAAGCCACCATGTCTTCTGTGACCTAACTGCTAAAGTCACGCACCATCTTTTCCTCGGTATCCTATTGGTTATCTAAGTTGTTCCTATACAGTATCGGAGGAACTAAATAAAGGCCATGGGTGCCAGGAGGCTAAGAGGCATCGGGAGCCGTCCTGAGGCCGGGGACCCCCGAGTCTCGGGGAGACTCGGAAGACTGGAGCACGTGCTTGGTGCGGTCAGCGGTGCGTGGTGGTGCGTGGATGTCGGGAAAGGATGTGGAGGGAGAGAGGGGTGTCCCTGTTGACTTCCATGTTTCTGGGGAAACAGCTGGGTGGGCGGTGATAGCGTTATTGAAACAGCTGGAGGACGGTTAGATTGGGGTAAAAGTAATGGGTAGAGTTATGGACATACTTAGTGTGACATGCTTGGGTGACGTCGTCCAGAGATAATGCAGGAAGGCAGATAGATAGATGTGCGCTTAGTAAGAGTGCTGGGCTGGACATCGAAGTATGTTTATCTATAGGTGATAAGTAAAGCCAGGGGTGTATACGTAATCACTTAGGAAGATAATAGGGTTAAAAAAGAAAGGGGCCCAGGACTGAGCTTTGAGAATCTTTAACAGTTGAAGGTTTAGTAGAAGATGAACTGGTTAAGGAGATGAGGAGCCCAAAGATGGGACAAAAACAAGGGAGCGTAGTGTCTCAGAAGCCAAAGGAAGAGAAAGTGTTCGGGGAGTAAGCAGTAGTCAGATGTGGCTAAGGAATCAGGTAAGATAAAGGCTGAAACGTTCCATTCGATTTAGAAGCAAGGAAATACTGTTCTCGTATGAAGTCAGTACTTACCCAGCATCCTTATTTAGTGATTCCCAATCAGCATCCATATCAGAATCTTCGAGAAGGGATATGGAATTTTTCTAAAATCCTTCTATGTCTCACATAGGCCCCCTCCTTCTGTTCACTCTCCTTTCAGGATTTTGATGTCCACACATCCTGCAAATCGAGACACAAGGAGTGAACCTCACAGGGCTGGACTGTCTCAGTTTTAGCACTAAAAACTCCACACCCCAGGAAGCCCTTTAGTTCCAGGCAAATCAGCACATTTGATCGCCCCATTTCTATTTTCCGTAGCAAGGTACCTCAGATTTGAACGTGTACCCAAATCACCTGGAGAGCTTGTTAAAATGCGGGCTTTGATTCAGAGGCCTGAGTGAGGCCCGGGCGAGGCCCGGGTGAGGCCCGGGCTTCAGCATTCGTAGCCAGCTCCGGATGCCACTGCCGCTGGTCCTGCTAGTGGCAGACAGTGCTGAGGGGGGCCAGTGCACTTTGCCCTCTCCATGCTGGATTGTGATTTCCAGCTGGCCGATTTTCCCCACGAAACCGTGAGTTCCCTGAGGAAAGGGACCGTGTCCGAGGCCTGGAATTTCAGGCACTAGCTCCACTCTGTAGATTCCTTTTGCAGCAGATTTTTTAAGGTAAAAGTTTGAATTTTTAAGTCAGTTTTTTGTGTATCGAGCACTTGTTCTCCGGTCACACGCCAAGGGGGTGTAGGAAAAAAATTTTAGACTAGATCATAGTCCCCAAACTGGCCCTGACTTCTCCCCTGAGCTTTGCCCCGGCGTGCTCCAGTACCACTGGGATTTTCAGTGGGCATGTTGAACTTAAGATGCGAAAAGCCTCTCGAGTCCCCCCTAAACCTCCTTCCCACCTGGCCTTGGCCACATTTGTGGGAGACTCCTCCTGCGTTCCTTTTTTTGCCCTCACTTCTCACATCCAAATCATCAGCAAGTCCTCTTTGCCCTTCCTTCCGAGTGTGTTGTCAATCAGACCATTTTTTGTCAGCTTCATGACTCATCCCCTACTCCCGATCCCCTGTCTGTTGTCCACAAGCAGACACATGGGGTTTTTTAAGGTCATTTAAGTTGCGTCTCTCCGGACTTAAAACCTCTCAGTGACTGCCTGGTGTACTTAAAATCCAAACTCCTTGCCGTAGCCTGTACCAGCATTTATTGAGTGCTTGCTGTATGCCAGGTGCTATGCTAAGTGCCTTGACTGTGTTAACTGATGTAATCTTCACAACAGCCCAACGAGGTTGGAATGATTTTTAACCTCATTTTATAATCAAGATTATAACACAGGAAGGTTAAATAACATCCAGGTCACACAGCTGATAAGTGGCTGAAATTCACGCCCAGAGAATCCGGCTCCAGAGCGTAGTCTGACGCCTTATGCCACCCAGCTTCGTCTCGTCATTTGCTTCCTCTGCTGTCACCACACGGGCCTTTTTCTTTCTCAAGCACATCCAGCTTGTTTTCTCCATGACACTTTTGCGCTAGTTGTTCCTCCTTCTAGAATTTTCTCCCCTCAGACTGTTGCATGGCCACTGTGATCTCATCGTTGAAGTCTCCATACAAACGTTTTCTTCTCAGAGAGGCCTTCCTTGACTGCTGTCTTTAACATTACCCTCCCACATATTCAGTCACCTTTTTAATTCTTTTTTACGTTATTTCTATAGAAATATCTACTCAGAAAGTATTTGTTGGATGGGCGGATGGCTGTTGACTCTTTGTTGAATGTTGTAGATATGTAAGCTCTGAAATCAGACTCCCTTGTTCGTATCCCAGCCCCACCGTTTAGTTATGTGAAGTTGAGCAGGTTACTTTCTGTACCTCAGTTTTCTCATCTGTAAGATGGAAATAATAATCCTTCTGCAGTAAGGTTGTCAGAATTAAATATGTCAACGCGTGTTAATCACATCAGAACTCCAGACGTAGTTTTTTTTATTATATTTAGTTTTTGTTAATATTAATGATAAATGAATAGCATACCTCAGAATCTCTTTGGAAAATCATATTTCTAGGCTCTGCTGTGCCCTGCTGAGTCCCCCCAGCCAGCTGGGTCAGATCGTTGAGGAAATGGCCCACGACTCTTTTTTTTTTTTAATGTATATATTTTGGCGATTCTAATATACATCCAAGCTTGAGAACTATGGAAGTAGAATTTTAACATCACTGCACAGGATCAACTTAGACAATTGTGTCTGTGTCATGTCATACAGTGACATCACGTAATTATAATTTTGCTGAGACGTAAAGTGAGAGCAAGTCGCTCTGTTGAGTGAGCCCAGAAGAAGTGATGATTCTTAGCTCGAAACTAGAATGGATAGTTTTGGGTTTTGATACGTTAGAATATGGAATAGCAAATTTGTTGTTTGGTTAGCTCCATTATGTAAATATCGCCTACCGTGTGTTGTTCGTAAGAAGAAAATGCCATGAAACTGTTTTGGCAGTTGGACCAGCTAAAGTGGCAGCCAATGCAAAAATTGCAAGATGTCAGGGAAATTACATGCTCTGGTTTTATTTATAAGTTTGGGTATTAAAGCTTTTGTGAATCTCCCAGTATACTGTGCAAGACATAGTTTCTAACTTCTTGAAGTTGGAAAGACAAAACCACTGTACACAGAACAGGACCAGATGAAATTAAACTCCGATGAAATGACCAGATGAAATTAAACACGACAGCCAGCCAGCGCTGTGAATTACAGAGAAGAGAGTATGAAGTGTCAACAAGGGGGTCTGTGGAGACCGTGTGGCTAGTTATGACGTACACGAGCATTTTCTTTAGTTGCAGGGCCAGCTCTACCCCCGAATTATAAAAGCAGTAGTTCAGAGTCACCAGACAGTGACGAGGACAGCAGTTCTCTGTGTGAAGAACGAGATCAAGAATCTGAAGACAACGACGCTGGCCCAACTGCAAGGTCAGTCACTTAGACGATAAACCAGGCTTCAAATCCAGTACACATTGGCTGGAACAGCTAGATAGTAAGGGACATCACACCTGCGTTTGTACAGCTCAGGAAGAAGTAATTTCATACGGCATTTCCTTATGTAAAATTCTTTTACAAAGAACTTATTCTAGTGGTACGTAGCTGTGGACCTATGCAGAATTTTGATGAAATTCTTAGAGCTTTTCCTTAAGATATTATTAAAGCAACTAAATATTCTAAATAAACCATAGAATTTATTTTTAAAAATTGTGTGTGCAGTGTTATGTTTTTTAGGTTTAATGAATGATTTCCCTCTAACGTAGCCTTACCACAGGTACATGTAAATAAAACGTTGAATCTTTGTGCATTATTGAGTAGCAGGTTAGTTCTGATTCATTTTAAAGATTATGAGACAGAAATAGCAACATAAAACCCTTCCTGAAATGAGATTAAAAGCCAAAGTCATAAATTTTGCTCAGAAACATCTAGCAAGTAGACTATTATTTGAAACTTCATTGGGTGGAATCTCTAACGCCACAGAATATGTAAAAATTGCTTTATTACTGCTGTAAAGAAGTAACTAATCTAACTATTTTAGGCCAAAAGTAAATTTCAGGAAAAGATAAGTAGAAGTCTTAGTGTGGTGTTCATTTTTTATTTGGCAGCATTAATTCATTGTTTCAGTATTTATGTAACTAGTCGAAGTTACAAATTAAAATTAATTGTTAAAAATTATAATTTGTGAAAAAATTTTTGACATATGCATAAAGTTACACTACTGTGTTTTCAGAAAACAGAGGAGAAATCAAGACGACGATGATGATGATGAAGGGTTCTTTGGACCAGCCCTTCCTCCTGGATTTAAAAAGCAGGATGATTCTCCTCCAAGGTGACAATGTATAATATTTCAGGCCAGTCTTCTAGATATTTCAACTAGTATCTGTTAATTCATTAAAGAGTTTGCTTTATAAACATAAGTTTTTTAACTTATGTTTATAAAGCATTTGAAATCCATATAATAAAAATAATTATTTAAATACTTTTAAATGTCATTGAAATAAAAATAATTATAATAAAAACTCCTATTAAAATAATTGACATGTTTATGACATCTCCATAGTTTATTTAAAAACTACATCTCCTATTCGATACTCACAAAAGTGTTTTGTGGTAGAATATTATCCTTTCCCCTTTTTTTAAACAGATAAGGATGCACACATAGTAAATGATGAACCTGGGGCCTGCAATCCTGGTATTTGAGGTCTAATTCAGACTTTTTCTTAATTATTTATTGATAGAAGAAACAAATCCATATGTCCCACATTAGACAATTTGATGAACTTCTCTGAACCTCAAATTTGTCATCTATTAAAAAGGATGACAACATGTACCTTACAGAATTGTGATGATTGAAATTTCGTATTTGTAGTTGTGTACATATGTGTGTGTATCTTATGGTGCCTGGCACAGGGTAAGCATATAGTAAATATCGATTCCTGTCTTTTGGAATTGTAAAATTTTTAAAAGTTGAATATGAAATTGCATACCCAATTATTGTTTATAATTCATAATACTATATACTAATATGTGAGAACAAGTAAAACAGGCTGTTGTGCATTTTATAGTCAGAGTTTACCCTAATTTTCAGAAATAACAGGGATAGACAATCCGCTGTCTGTTTTAGTATGGCCCCCAAGCTAAGAATGATATTTAAAGGTTTATTTAAAAAACAGACATGCAACAACAGATCCAAATGTGGCCTCAAAGCCTAAAATTTCCTCTCTGGCCCTTTATAGAAAATTTGCCAAAGATATAATATTCCTTTCAAGAAAACAAATTCTGAGACGTAAAGCAGTTTCTTGTATGAGAATTCTTCTTTGTCAATGATAAAATATATGTGTGAAATAAACAGGTGTAGCAGATAGAATCGGCAGAACCCTTTTAAACAGCCATAACGTGCCATGGCTGTGTTCCTTTACTGTATTTTAAGATTTTTATGTACCAGTAATTTTGTCCTCACAGATTCCCTGAAGCCAGAGAATTAATTGAGCTGTAATTGCATTTGTAGGTCTGCTAAAAATTGTCTTCAGAAAGAAACGAGGTAGTACTTCCTTATAAGTTATAAAAGATAGCTAATTTGATCTTTCTAACAATGCCAAACCTCCCTGTTTTTCGTATACAAAACTGTTTTGGCTCCGAGAAGTTTTATGAACCAAGACCAGGGGGTCACAAAGTGTCTCGGGTCAGAACCCAGACCTCCGACGCTCAGTGCCGTTTTCCTCTGCCGGGGAGCCTGTCTCTGAGGCTCTAACTGAACACAGTGCAATCAGGAAAATTCAGCTTAGCACTGCACTGTCATCTCGGCTGGTACTATTGGCACAGTGCCATCTCGGGACAAAACACTGGAACGAGAGGAAAGATGAAGAAACTTAAAAGTATGACAGAGAGAGACGATACCTTATTTTTCCTCTACGCAAGTAAGCCTTTCTCTTTTTAAGACCCAGATTTAGGCTGTTCTGCCTTTTGACTGACAGCGGTTCCCTTAGAACGCGGAGTAGGACAGCTTGAAAGCAAGTGAACTTCTCATCGAGTAGACCAGGCTTCCGGCTCCAACTCTACCATTTTAATGTGTTGTCCTTGAGCATTATTTCGCCCACCTAGAAAGTGGAGTGACTTATACCGGGCAGGGTCATTTTAGTTCCTTAACACGGAAAGGCACACGCGGCGACGTGGTTATTAGCACAGCACCCCTTTCTGTGGGTCTCAGATAAACTGTTGTCATTCCTGTCCACTTCGGTGTCATTGCTGGATTACCAGTGAAGACAGCTTAGATTTTTATACCACCTTGGCACATATAATCATAAATTGCTGGCATCTGTTGTATGGATGTGCCGTGTACGTCCATAGGACTCAATTTATACTGAGTAGTTCTGGCTGTAATTATAATTTTCAGTGGACAGTGAGTGTCAAAATGGAAAGCCAAGGCACAAAATAGGAAAACATCTTCATGGGCTTCAGTCCATAATGAGAACTTTTTTTAAAAAAATTATGAGTTTTCTTTAACAGTTTTCTTAGGAAGTGGGAGAAATACTGGTTTAGTGTCTAATCATTGACTAACAAATAGTAAAAATGCAGAAATTAGATTTTTTTAAGCTATTAAGTGGGAAAATACTAGCTTTTAGCATAAAAATAATATGTTAAATAAAATTCTCATTTTCAAGGTTTGTCATTGTCTGGCTTTTTATTGTTTTTGTGAACTTTGAAAACTGCTTTTAAAAGTCAGAGAAAACGATATTGGTACGTTTTATTTTACAGGCCTATCATAGGTCCTGCATTACCACCTGGTTTTATGAAATCTACACAGAAAAGTGACAAAGGCAGAGATGTTCCAGGACAACAAGCATCATCGTGTCTCAGCTCTGAGGTTTGGAAATTTTTCGAGCAAAGAATAAGATGTAACAAACTCAAGACTTTACATAGTAATAACCGCAGTCATTTGACTCGGATGTTATGTAAGGCATAGTCACATTCAGATGAATTTGGGATTGTAGCACAGGTGGATGAAATCAAAGGCTTGTCATAGAACCGAGATGCTGTTAGAAAAATAACATGTATTGTTGGTGGAGTATCACCTACTCACGCTTCTGATCCTTGAAAGGAAGCTTAAAATGCTAGACAATAGAACATGATGAAAAGTTTGAGAAACCTATGTGATCTGACCCATAACAGAAAAACCTGAGGAATCTTTTAATAATAATCTTTATGTTGAAATTAACACTCTCTTGCCTGTCTCTGGTACTGTATATAACAAAGGCACTGGTAGATAAGTAATTTTATGAAAAGATAGATTGAATGATTTTGAAGTCAAGTGTGAAGGCTGTTTTCTTGTTAGAGGCCAGGTCTTCAGCAGTAGCTGAGATTTATACAGTGCTTTATCATTGGTAATGCATTTTCCTCATATGTGGATATCATCTTTACCTCCTCGATGGCCTTATGAAGTGCGTGTGATCTACTTAACATCTTACAGATGCTAAAACCCAAAGAAACGAGGTAGCTTACCCAGGATCGCAGTTCATACTTATGAAAGCCAAGGCTTAAACCCAGTTCTTAAGACTTCAAAGCACCTGTTCATTCTGTTATTCCGCATAGCTTCCTGTGTCTGTGTCGCCGCTGAGACTTCCACAGCTGTTATTAAAGGACACGTAATGCAGTGGTTAATGAAGGTCGTGCATTCAGAGTCATTAATGCGTTCTTTCAGCAGTATTTATAAAGCTCCTCCAGTGTGTCAGGCATATAGTCACAGAAATGAATCCGTCAACAAGCTCTGTTGTTCCTAACTCCAGAAGACATCCGGGACCCAGCCACTTTTGCTTCCGTCCTGGTCCAAGGCAGCGCATACGTCACCACATTAGTGGCCTCCACGCTTCAGCCTTGTTCCTCCGCTCCTGCTTCTCCCCACAGCAGCTGGGGAGGCCTGGGCGAAGGAAGTCAGACCGCGTCACTCACACCCGAAACCATCAGTGGCTTCTCTCTCTGCTTGAAGCCACAGCCCTCCAGGGCCCTCTGCAGGCTGGCCTCTGGTACCGCCCTGGTTCTCTCTTACTTCACGTGACCATGTGACCACCTTGTGCCCCTTGCTGAACCTCCTCAGCGACGCCAGGCTCCTGCCCCTGAGCATTTGTACCTGCTCCATCTCTTCATGAGGGTCTTCCCTAGTTGTCTGCCTGGCTCGCCTCCTAGGCCTTCAGCTTTTTGCTGGAGGGTCACCTCGGCGAGGTACTTTCTGACCTCCTAACTTAAAATCGCTAACTGCTCTTCCCTTGACTCCTGTCCCCTTCCCTCCTTCCATGTTTTTCCGTAGCATTTGCCACTTCCTAAGATGCCGTATATTTTACTGCTTCCGTTCGTTTTTATTGACTCTCCCCACAAGAATGCGAGTCCACCCAGAGGCTTCCGTCTCACCTCCAGTGCACAGTGACAGTATTTGTCGAGTGAGTAAGTCAGGCTCAGCCCCTGCCCTCATCTCACAGCGTGGAGGGGAATACGTCCATCAAACAGATACTTTCTAATATCCCGAGTGATTCAGAGATGAGACAAAAACGTAGTGGAGCCGTGACAGAAAAAATCTAAACTAATCTGAAGAAGCGAGAAAAAGTCTTTTTCTCTGAGAAAATGTCTAAACTGAAGATGGACGAGTTGGAGCTAGCTTAGCAAAAGGGGCAGGACAGATTGTTCTAGAGAGTACAGGTAGCTTATTTGAAGGCAAAAAATGCGGAGAGGAAGAAAGTTAGGGTTAAAGAAATCTAGTATGGTTAGCGTGGAGAAGATGAGAAGAAGGGTTAGAGAGAAAGGGAGGGGCAGGCAGGAGCCACCGACGTGTCGAATCCTGACTGAGCTTAGTTTCATTACCAGTAGCACACAGGTGGTTGTAGAATTGTCGTAAGCGTCAATGAGAACCAGGTATTCCGTTTATAATAACTCTCATTATTATTATCATTCTTACCACCGCCAGTATTGATGCCATGAGAGTAACTTTGTAGAATGTATGCCCAGTGTAAGGAATCCTTTCTGACAAGGTTGTTGAATACAGGAATGCATTACCCCAGGAAGGACTTCAGCAGCAGGGAAGGCTGAGGTCACACGGTCCAGGAGGCCTTCCCTGGAGGAATGCTGGGGGAAATAAGCAACAAAGCTAATACACAGCCAGACTTAAAAGAAAGAAAGGGAAATCCACAGGTGCTAATAGCATTGGGAGAATTCAAAGCCAGAATAGTAAACACGAGTTAGCAGGAGGGCCAGCAGTTTGGAGAGCAGCCATGATCCCTAGAGGGCCCGGCATGGCTCCACTCCCTGGGGAGGAGGAGGGTGAGTGGATCCCACCGAACGGAACCCACAGCCTAGAAGCTCTGCTCGTCTGCAGAGGGAGGGTTAGAGACGTAGCCCACTGTCCTCTGGAAAGTGTGCTTCGGTCTTGAGCCTTTTCACGCTGTTTGTAACCTACTTTCAAACGATTCACAAAAAGTGCATGTTGTCTGACTGCCTCACCGAGAGGGGCAGGGGCTGGGAGGAAGATAAACGTGGTAAACGTTATCAGTTGAGGAATTTGGGTGAGGATGCGTGGGTGTTGGTTGTACTCGTCTTGGCACTACGTTTTTGAAAATAAAGATATTTAAAGATGTAGCATAATTCGATTTTATTTGAAGTTGGAACTTGTCCTAACTCACCTAGACAGCAGATGGGTAGTTTATGGAAGTCCCTAGGTGGTATCCATCCTACGTTCTCCAGCTTCCTGGAGCAAAAGCGGGGGGCGGGGGAGATGGCACCACATGATACCTGTGGAAGGCACTCTTGGTTGTGAACTCTCTGCTTTGTAATTTCCCTTTCAACTTTGTTCAGAAGACACCGCTTTTTCTGTTTTCATATTTTCCTTTCTCAAGGAGAGGTTTCTCTTGGTTTTTCTTTCACAACATGTACCCCCATATTAGGATCGACATAGTGACACTAATGTTTAACATTTGTTGAGCACTTGCCACAAACTAGACACTGCAGAGCACAACAACTGATGTTTGTATGACTTGATTATCTTTGCGTAACCTTGTAAACTTAATCCAAACAACGATCCTGAAAGATGTGTCAGCTAGAATGCTTTTAGCTGCAAATAACAGAGAATCCAACTCAAAAGAGAACTTTGTCTTAACCTACTTAGCAAATGAGTTGTTTCTGTAATTTCCCAGTTGCCATATAATTTATATTCCCAAAATAAGGAAAATGGTTTCATACATAATAGGTCTAGAGGTAGGGTCATCCCAGGGTTCATTAGTTCAACAGCTTAATGAGATCACCCAGGGCTCCAGTATGTTCCATCTTCTCTGTCACCCACAATATGTTCATTCCTCTTAGGCTGACCCCTTCATTCTGCCCAGAAGCCTGCTGAAGTTCTAAGATCCACGTGCACATGGCAGTGTCCACACAGAAGGAGAAGGGTCCCTGTCCTGTGCCCCTTGCTTAGTGGTCAGAAAACCTTCCTGGGTCCTGTAGGCCTCTTCCCACGTTTCTTTGGCCAAATGGGATCATAAGCGCCTGCCTAAGCCAACCTGTTGGTCAGTAGGAATGAGACCAAAGCGTTTGGCTTAGAAAAATCAAGATTTCCCCCCGGAGTTAGAGCAGGTCCCAGTTTCCGGAGACGAGCTTGGCTCCAGAGAGGACGAACGAAGCAGCGTCCTCTTAGCAGTAGAGCAGTTGCTGGTCGGAGCTGCTGCGGCCCCATCTAGATGTGAAAACGAGGCCTAGGAAGGGTAAATAACAAGCCCGAAGTCGGGGCTAGTACAGCGGTAGATCGAGGCTTTGAAACTCGGTCGCCTCTGCCACCCAAGCTGTAAACCGGTAGGGTAAGTAATTTCCACTGTATTTCTGGATAAAATAACTCTCCTTTTTATTTGGGGAAAAAACCTCATCCGGGACACCAAAGTGGTTTAATACTTAGATCGATTTAGGTTTATGACTTCGGTTTCTCATTATCTGTTCAGTGTGCTGGACCTGATATTCTGCCCCTCCCTCCATCCAGCCAATTACTTTGTCTCCCAACATCCTAAGTGATTTTTATTTCTAAAAATCTCAGGCATCATCGTACCAAGACATGCTGAACTTTACCTTTATAAAATCATCTCCTGGTAGGTGCAAGTAAAAATACCCTTAGCTTATCCCATCATCTTAAACTTCAGTACCGTCCCACTAGCTGACATCGAGTCTCTTACAGTTTTAAAAGTTCATTATATCTTTTACATCTGCTCATTTACGTCACCAACTGTTATATTCCTAGGGGGTTATGAATCTGCTTAAGATAATGTGTGTGACATCGAAGGGTTTACTGTTGTGCAGATAAGCTATAGATAGTTGAAGTTAAGTCATTAACAGTTGAAAGGAAGAAAATAGAGGGCCTGCTCTGGTGTAAGTAGAAACAATACTAGCCTCGATCTTAGAATACTTGAGTCTTAGACACTATTTCTATAACCTTGAACAGGGTGTTTAACCTTTTGAAATATTAACCTAGTTTTCTTGAAAAAGAAAACAAATTATAATGACATTTCATAGTTTTGTTACAAGGATCAAATTAAGCATCGTGTACCACAGTCCATAGTTATTGAGAGAGAGTGTGTCTGAGTGATATAGAGTAAGCCACAGAACAATACATAATTATCTAATTACTTGTACCAATAGTAATCACTTCGTAAGGGTTCAGGAAGAAACAACAGCTAGAAAGTTGCCTTGGAGTGGTTAGCGGGGAAGGTGTAAACAATACAGATGAATTCCTAGAAAAGTAAGAGAAGAAGCTGCCTGTCAGAGCTGGAGGACAAACGTGTTTTATGATTCATCTTCGGGTCTTATTTTTGAGGGCAAGGGCTGCTTTAAACCCTACTGTATATAGCATCTAACCCAGAGTCTTCCATGAAAACCCTTTATTGCAATGACTTATTAAGAATAAATTGGATTCAGCTGTTACGGTACTGTTACATCTTTGGGATAAGTGGGGTATTTTGGGGACCAAATGAACTCATTCGGGTTAGTGTTTGTGAGGTACAGCACAGCGTTCCTATGTCAGTGGACTGTACTGAGCCTTGGAGACTAACACAGCTTTCAGGAGTGTCTCACTGTGTGCGTCTTACGCCAGAGAGCTTTGGCATGAGCAGATGCTTTCAACTTGTATCCTCTCTGACCAATTGATGATAATTACTACAGTGTCATGTTGAGAAGAATCGTCAAGTCACATCTTTAGCCATCAAGAAGCGATCTGAAATAATTTAATGAGGTCTGCCATGGACATAGGAGAGGTGGGACAATCCACATGCCACGGGTTTGTCACCTCTGTACCGTGCACTTCAGAAAGACACAGAAAAGGTCCTCGATACTCAGTGATTAGCCTGCAGTACGGTGTTTGCCTTTTTGTTTTATTGTCTCTAGGCAGTCAATTTCAGTTAAATTTTAGGTGATTTAGGATCATTTTCCGTCTCCCGTAGCTCTGATCTTGATTTAAGGGAATGTCTTGTTTAAAAAGGAGACAGATAGCAGTGAAGATGAGGCCATCGTCGGACCGATGCCCGCAGAAGGACCCGTGAGCTACAGTGTGACGACAGAGTTTGAAAAACGGGCCCAGAGAATGAAAGAAAAACTGACAAAAGGAGATGACGTAAGTTACAAATATACTTTACTCTGAGAAATTTACCACACTGAAAACCTAAATTTAAAAAATGGACCTTTAAAAAATACGTGTCTGTATGTATGTATCTATGTTTGTACGTATAAAGAAAATTTGGGAGCTGTGTCACCCAGAAGCCATCGAAGGAAAAGACTGGCAAATCTGCCCCCTGAAAAAGTTTTGTATGGCAAAAGTCAAAAGAACAGTAAATTAGATGAAGGTATTTGTAACACATATCACAAAAACATCAATTTTGTTCTGTTGTTTCTTTTAAAGTCTGTTGTTAAACGTTTAATCTTCGATTGAGAAACATATCCACTTACACAGTACTTTACACACACATAAAAACTCTTTCCAGGCTGCTTTGTTAAAAATTTTTGTTTCCCTGAAAGGATTCATCCAAACCGATCGCAAGGGAGTCGTGGATGACCGAGCTTCCTCCAGAGTTGAAAGACTTTGGTCTTGGGCCCAGGACTTTTAAGAGAAGAGCCGACGACAGATCTGGAGATCGTTCGGTCTGGACAGATACCCCAGCGGACAGGGAAAGGAAAGCTAAGGTGAGGGGTCGTTCGTGCGTTTCTGTCGGTGTCGGCTCTGTTTTGAAAAGACATGAAGCAATGTTATTTAAGGATGCTGTTTTTTAAATTACAGTTCCAAAGGGAAAGTTCAGATTTCCCCTTGAAAGAAAGTGAGGAGGAGGGAAAGCGACAGCAGTTGCTTACCGTTTCCCGATAAATTGTCTCTCTTAAACCTCGAGAAACCCCGAGACGTGAGTTTATTGACCTCAGTTTACAGGAGAAACTCACGTGTATGAGGTCAATTGTTCCGCACTTACAGTACCCATAAATGACGAATAGTGATTCCTTTCTAGACCTTTCTAGCTCCTGGTCCTTACACAGCATCACACTATCTCCAGGGTAGTGTATCTTTTAAAATATCTTGGAGAAAAAAAAAAAAGGCACAGATCACCCTAGATGGTTAAATGATACATAGAGACTCTCAGGTGCACTAAGCTTCCTGTTACTGTTAGGACAGGCAAGGGGCACTGTCATGCACAGCGCTAATAGAGTATGACCTCACTGGTATGTGGAATCTAATCTCAGAACAGCCAGCTCATGGATGTAGGGAGCAGATTGGCGGTTGCCTGAGGCGTGTGCGGTGGGGTGGGCAAAATAGATGAAGGGCGTCAAAAGGTACAAATCTCCAGTTATTAACTGATTAAGTTCTAGGGATGTACATCATGGCAACAGTAGTGAATGATACTATATTGCATATTTGAAAGTAGCTAGGATACTAGATCCTGAAAGTTCTCATCACAAGGGGAAGAAAATATGTAATTACGTATGGTGACAGATGTTAGCTAGACTTATTGTGGTGATCATTTTACAATATATACAAATACTGAATCATTACATCGTATACCTGAAACTAATATAATGTTATGTTACTTACATCTCAATAAAAAAGCACTTTCATGAATACATTAATGTACAAAATACCCAAAGAAGTTTGCATAAAATACATTTTTTTAGATTTTCTTTTCTTGACTCTTTTTTGTTTATTGTGAAATATTCCATTGTAAATTAAGCTGAACCAATGTCCCCAGCACTGCTTCTTAAATTTACTCCATCCAAAGGTTTTAATTTCCGTATGTATTCTCATTCAAATCTTAAATACTTGACTAATTGGCGCCTTATGATTATAGCTTTCTCAGTTCTGACTTAAGCAGCTGCGCACTTACTCAGTCCCCTGATAACTAGATCTAGTTTTTTGTTGATTCCTTGCAGTTTTCTGCATAGCCAGTTGTGTCATCTGTGAATCAAGATAGTTTTATTTCTTCTTTTCCAATCTCTACACATTTTATTTCTTTGTCTTAATTTGTTCCCTCAAGAGTGATTTTCCAAGTTTTGAGAACGTAATACAGAATTTCTTTTTTAAGCCTTATTTTCTCTTCTACATTTCATTATTGTCAGACTCATCTCTGAGTTCGAGACATAGGTGATACAGGTGATTCTTCTATTGGTTGAATAGAATTGGAGTTTTTTTTTTTTCTTTCTTTTTTGCAGGAAAATGTTGAAACACTAACAGATCTCTTAGCAAGTATATTAACATTTTCAGTTCTTTCTAGTGAGAAGAGATTCAATAAGCCTGGCTTAGTTTAGACTGTACTCAATTTGAGTAAAATAATAGTTTTTCTTTTTTATCTTCTTTTAATTATGAAGTTCTGTAATATGTCATCTGTATTCATTCCTCAGGAGACACAAGAAGCAAGGAAGTCATTCAGTAAGAAGGACGAAGAACATATATTGTCAGGAAGGGAAAAGAGATTGGCCGAGCAGGTATCTTCATACAATGTAAGTCAGAGAAGAAAATACATGACCTTTTTTTTCCCTGTCCTTTAATGCTCTTCATTTTTCTTTTGTTTTTTTGTTTGTTTGTTTGTTTCTTTCACGTGTCTACTCTTTCTCTCAGTCTTTTTCTATACATTTGTCCTGAAAAATATTCAACTCTGTCTTGTACGTATGTTTATATAAAATCTTTTTGAGGGCTTTTTAATGCACCTCATGTAATGTTTTCAGTTTGTTTTTGTTTTTATTTTTGTTTTTTTACTTAAGTCATATATCAGGAATTTAACTCCTAGAGATCAGTAGATCTGATCAGGAAGTAAGGACCCTACTAACTCCTACAGAACCTCAATTCATACATTTTTAAATTACAAGCAGATCTGGAGTGTGATGTAAAGATTTAAATATGGGAGAAAAAACGTTTTTAAAATAGGGTTCGATCCAAATCTATAAACCGAATAGTCAGTGTTCATTGGACACGTCATCATTTTGTTCTGCTGTCTCACGCATGCTCTTGGTTTGTGCTGATTTTGATGCGTCGTGCGATGTGCTTTTCATTGTGGTCCATTAGACATTTGTTTCTTCTCTGTCTTGCTCTTGTCTGTGTGTGTAGCATGTAGTTAGTAGAAGATTCGTTTTGGTTGAATTGAATTAGCCTTTGATAAATGTTTTCTTCGTCGATGTTGTCTTGGATTTGGAAAAGCCTATTGGGGTTTGTAAATAGCCCACCTTAATGTTCACCCTTAATATTTAACTGTTTTGTTTCATTATCATATTCTGTCAGTCAGCTATACAAGCTAAGATTTTTATGTTACTCTTTTGCTTTCCTTAGGAATCAAAAAGATCAGAATCTCTTATGGACATTCATCACAAAAAATTAAAGAATAAGGCTGCTGATGAGAAAAATAAGCCCCAGGAAAGAACACCATTTGACCGTGATAAGGACCTCAAGGTTAATCGGTTTGATGAAGCTCAGAAAAAGGCCCTGATAAAGAAATCTAGAGAACTAAACAGCAGATTTTCACATGGCAAAGGCAGTATGTTTTTATAAGTAAGTATATTTCAGTGAGGTATAATTTCATACTGATAAATTTGAACTTTTCTAAAAATAAATTTTTTCTATAACGTGCAAAACTCTATTTCCTTTTATAATAAAGTAGATTATAAACCTGTAAATCTTTTTATAAGTAATCGATGATTTTTGAAAATTCAGCCTCTGTGGGCTAAAAAATGGGTTTACAGAAAAATAGCCTTGTCCTCAACCTAACAAGGCATTGCTATTAAAAACGCTAAAATAAAAGTTTCAGTTTTTGAGAAATGGTCAAGGAAAGTGTGATTTAAAAGTCGAGTAACATGCTTTATTAAAGGATGAAGGAGGGGCGTTGGCTGGTAGTCTTTGTGTTAAGCAAGATCACAATTAGAAAACGGTCATTGCTTTGAAAGACGCCCTGTAATTCAGGTTCAGAACCATTACATCATTCATTTATTGCCCAAACTGACAAGGATTCATAATGGTGATTAAGGAATTACATAAAAACTAAGGCTGCTTCTTAAAAGCTTTATGATTTTTTAATTGTATGAAAGTTACATCAATATTAAAATGTGGCTTTAGGGAAATCACTGTTAAAGTTGGAATCGTCTTCCAACTCACTGGCTGTTCTTATTCTTACTTAGGAGGATTTCCCTGCGCAGTGAAGAAAAGCCGAAGAATGTTCTTTCACCTGTCTGTCTACCTCTATTCCTTTGTTTTGAGTTTCTTAAGATTAGAGATTACTTTAGTCTCAAAGACCATACAAACTTACCTTGTTCTGTGTGTCCTTTAAAGTCACGTGGAAACAGAAAATCAGTGTTTTTTGTGTAGAATAGAAATTTATGTATCTTTGGCTTCTGGGAAAGTGTGGGCTTTTCTTCAAATAATTATTTTGAGGATTTCCCACCCTCCCCACCCCCCATTCCCACACCCTTATTTTTGTGGTGTCTCACAAACACCATCTCAGATCTGGTCAGGACGGTCCGCTGAATGTCAACCACAGCCCGGACTCAGATATTACTAACCTGCTATGGAGTAAGTGTGTCGGGTCTCAGCAGTTAACCCATGAATTTGAAATTTCTGGGTATTCCCTCTAAACTCCAGCCAGTGAATACGCATTTACTTGAAAATCGAAGGCATGGAGGCATTGACATTTTTTATTAACAGTTTGCTCGTTTAGGCATTCGGGGCATTTTATTTGTTGTTTGGGTTTTTTGTTTTGTTTTTTGTCAGAAAGAGGGATCTCTGTGTTATCTCATGTGCTGAGGGGAAACTGTTTCGTGGTTTTCAACTTTACTATGTGTTTCTAAGAGAGGCCATCTGGGGGGACGAGGTGCCGTTAACCTGTCAGCAGTGTGACGTCTAAGACTCGGCTCCGTGACCTCAACCAAAGCTTTCTGAGTCTTTAAACTTGCTTTACCCTGGTCTTACTCTACCGATTTATATCAACAGATACTAGCTAATTTATTGGGCACAGATCTTTTATATCAATCACGAATAACCATTTTTTAAAAAATGAAACTGTAATCATAACCATCCTAATAAGATCATTATAAGTTTGAAATCATATAAGTACTGCCTCTTCAGATGTTAAATAGAAAGTTCTAAATAGTTAAAGCCTAAAATCAAAATCTAGTAGTTTTATTTTCTCGCAGATTAATACTAATCGTCTGCTAGTTCTGTGTTCTAGTTTTGATGATGCCCAAGGTTTTAATGGGAAAAGTTTCTGATTCCCGGTTCATTTAAGTTTTATAAAAAATCGTATAAACTGTTCAGATAGTGATACAAATTTTTCTCCTTCTAATCATAGCAGTACAATGATATTTTCCATAACAGGTGTAAACAGCAGCTTACTCAAGGAGCGTTGCTATTAAAAAGATGAATTATTCTCCTAAGAAATTCATGAAAAGGCTCTTGTCTAAGCGGAATTGCACGGAGCTACCTTTTGACTAAAGATGTCATTTTCAGTGAGTGATACTTTCTGAACACAAAACTTTATGCAAGCACATCCATTGCTTTCATTTAATTTTGTTATAATTTTTTCCCCAGTGAAAGGAAGAAATGTTTTCTAGTTCTTCACCCTTCTATAAATCCCTAACATATATCTTTGGGAAATTCGATATTTTTTAAAATACCAGGGTCATCTTTGGCTACTTATTTTTGCTTTGCTTTCTTAAGAGGAGAAGGATATTTCTGCATGACTTGCTTTTTCCTCCCTCACCCTCGCCGTGTCCATGAACTTAGCAAAAGGGAGAAAAAGAAAAAAGCCTCTTCTTCTGCTTAATATTTCTGCAAGTTATCACCTTGCAGCCTCGGATATAATGCTTTTTCGTGCCACTCCGAGGCCAGTTCTGATAGCGTAAGGCCAGACCAGAGATTTTTTGCCCGTGGAGAGCCTAAACCCGTACAAAAACACTGGCAGGACAGGAACCAGAATGGATGGAATGGCGCCCCTTTCACCCGTCTCCTCTTCCAGGCTGCGAAGACCCGAGTAAATCAGGTCTCCTCTTCATCCGGCAGAAAGTCGAGGTTCTTTTCCAATGAGAACTTTTTAATGTCCCGAACTTCTTAGCCAAGTTCTGTAGAACTGTGACCTCTTTTGAAACTTAAAAACGAAGTAAAAGAGCGACTCTTAAGTTCAGAAAGCGGAGCGGCCGCTTGAACGTTTTTTGCCGTTGAAGGCGACATTTAAATTCATTGCACCTGAAATCATGTGACCTTGGCCACTTCTCTAAATCGTCATCTGAGAGAGATTTATACGCTCCAAATTTACCACATTCCTGGTAAATAAATGCTGGCTTTAGTAAGTGGGGGAATTGGAAGGGGGAACAAAAGGGGAGAGATGGTCGCTAAATCCGTAGGAAGACTGCTTTATCAGACAGATCCTTTTGATATTGGGCAAAACATCGTAAATTCAGCCCTGCTCTCCATAAAAGCCACAGTCTTACTAAGAGTGTTAAACCTTATTTGGATGTGGCAACCACTTGACTTTTAGTCGCTTGAACATTTAATGGTTCTTTGAATTAACTGTGTTTTTTTTAGAAGTGAGGTTAAGATTTACAAAGTATTGAGGCTTACATGCTCCAGAAGAGATTAACGGTTATTCTGTAAATGATTTGATCCCAGAACGTTCTGGCACTTTTTGTTTCTCATATAGGGCATATAATGTTAACATTATTCATCAGAAATGTATGGTGATGAGAAGCGGTTTTTAGACTATTTACAAGGGCCCTTCTCACTTCTCTTTTCACTGTTTCCATGGTAATGGCGGGGAAAGCTTAGGTGTGTAACTCTGGTGAGTTCTACGCCCAGAGGAAGAGTTAACATGGAGGGAAGTGGCTAGAGATAGTGCCCATGTAACGTCACAGCCGAATCTTCTATTTCAGAATATTAATTTATTTTACTTTGACTTGTGACACCATCGTGTGATTTCAGTGCAGTTACGAAAGGTCATGCATTTTCTATTACAGGAGAGGTATATTTTTTGTGGCTTAAAAAATTAACCGCGACTGTGGCATGTGCAGAATTCAAAAGCGATACACTGCACTTGCAGACTTTTCATTATGAACTTGACAATTAAAAGACTTTTTAGAAAAGAAGAATTCCCTGAGCTGTCATTTTTTTACGTATAAAATAAAGTTTCATCTCTATCTGAGAAGTTCTGGGCTTTTATATTTGTTTTGTTTGTTTTAATGTTCTTAGCTTATCTGAAGCAGGCAAGATCAGTAAAGAGAATATCCTAGAAAGACTTATTCTAACCAACCAGATTGTTCTGGGCCGTTGCGGAAAAAAAAAAAAGTCTCTCAGCCCAGCCCCCTTGCCAGGTTTTCATTATCCAGCATCACTACAGATGTTAACTATTTATTTGGAAATGCGAGGCTGACAAAGCGGAAGTGCCATGAAGGGCCCTGGGGGACAGAGGGGCTGGCGCTGGGCCATGACCAAGCCCCATCCTGCATCCGGCCGGACTAGGTGACAGCTGGTGGCATCCTCTGGATTGGTTGTGAGCCTTTTTTGCCCTTTCTGTACTTCTCAATTTATTTCAGAAAGTGTGTATTTTTCTGTAATTCGGGGGAGTAAATTAACCTTTTTTTTTTACTTCCTAATTTTTTATTATATGAGGCAGAATTAGAAACTTAACTGCTAGGGGGACAGGACTGGGGAAGTGACCAAAAGAGATACTTTACAGTGCAGAAGCGAAGCATTGAAAGATGGGAGTCTGGACTTGTGGATCCAGGCACGAGAACCTTTGCGTTTTCAGATCATTTCCCAGAATAAGCCTTTCTTGGGGAAGAGACGTGTGTTCATTCAGTCAGTGAACGTTCAGTGGATGCCGGCGTGTCCCAGGTGCTAAGGACACGGGCGAACCTGGCACTCGTAGCCCCGCAGAGGGCGGCGTCCCTGCCCGGTGGCCTCGTGCCCCCTGGGAGAAGACCCAGCAGGACAGCGCGCAGCGAGGCGGCGGCGGCCGGCGCTGGCGACTGCACACGGGGATTCAGAGCCACTCCTAAGAGTTCCCGTCACATGGAGGACGTTCGCTGAACCCATCGTAATCATCTCGCGATATGTGCACGTCAAAATGTCATGTTCTCACCTTAAACTTATACCGTGGTGTAAGTCAGCGATTTCTCAATAAAACAGGAAAAAAATCATCGCACATGGCGGTAGGTGCTACGGAGAAAACTGGGCGGTGCGAGGCCCGCAGGTGGCCGCGGGTGGGAATCCCGCGGTGAGGATGCTGAAGTCTCTTGGGAGAGCTGTCTTATTAACTGGAACCTAAGCAATGAAGAAGGAGCGGCCCCAGGGCGCGACACACGACCGCACGCGCCCAGGCCCCGAGCGCTGGCCGAGCCACCCCGCGTGAGCGGGCTGTGGCCACCATGTGCTTGGGGGCCGTCCCCACTACCTACCCACCAAGGCCCACACGGGGCGCTCGGTCCAGGCCCAGAGGGCAGAAGGGGCCTCCCAGAGGACAGTCAAACGTCACAGAGGGCTGACCTAAGGTCTACCCTGCCGGCCTTCCAGAATTCTCCAAACACGTCTGAATTTGTGCCGTAGGCCCTTGCTCTGGAAACCTGTATGTACCCCCACTTTTGTTTTCTTGGAATTCGTTGTAAATTATAGTTTAGTTCCTCCTCTCAGACACAGTGATCGAGGAGTATGTACATTCTTCTTAAGAGCTAAATAGCACCAGACGGATTCAGTTGATGTCAGTTAACCTCCAGAATCCCAGGACATGGCAGGCCTGTTTATTAGGGACGGGGGAGCCGAGCGGATCTGTTCCTTAAGGATTTGTAACCCTCAAACCATCTCCATCAGAACCACCTAGAGAACTCGTTTAAACGTAGATTCCCAAACCCAGCTTTACCGGATGGGAATCTTTGCGGTTAAAGTCAGGAAATCTCCACTTTAACGATTATCTTACTCTTGGTCAGCACAGGTTGGAGAGTCGTTGCACTTATATACATTTTTACAAACAGACCCCTCTCCCTTGTTACATGTTCCACTTTCCCGTATTCACTACTCATAATGCGCAGTAATTTCCTGTCGATAGCTACAAGTCACCAGCACAGAACACCCTTGATTATGAAGCGTCGACTGTCATTTCTACTGAGTGACTCGATGCCTAAAAGTTTTCATTCTTCAAACATTTTTACGAGCAGCTGCTACAGGGCTCAAGATTCTACTGTCAATGGTAATTCAGTTTCCTTAGACTTTGGTTTTTCAAAGCCACGTTTAAAATGGAACGGTCCCTAGAAGGAATAGTTAGGGTACAAGGACCTTGTCCCTGGCTGACTGGGGCCCCATAAGATCACCAAATGCCTTGGAAATGCAGACCATTGAAAAAGCAAGGGGCACGATGAGGTACCAGAGACAACACAAGGGTAGTCTCTGCTTACGACTATTTTCCTTGTGGGAATTAATTAGTTAATGTTACTGAAGTCCTTTGAGGGCTTAGATACCTGTGCTTTGGCAGCTAAGGCATTTAATTTAAAGAACTTCGGAAGCTCATGAGTTGACTTAGATCTCAGTTTCTGCATTTACCACTTAAAAAGGGAATAGATTTTTTAAATGTCAAAAAGCAAAGATCCATGATCGTTTTAAGACTGAAAACTTGCAAGGATCTTTGCTAGAATATTGAAAAGGATTTCACATCTTATTTTCATGTATCCCCGGTGACCTCCTTGTCACTGTCCAGCCCTTTACAGAACTTGCATTCAATTTTCTTAGAATGGGGCAATGTTGGCCCGACGGGCCATTCGATAAGGTATTTAGTCCTAAAATTTTTTCTTCGTACAGTCAGAGTTCTGGGATACAAATAAACTTGCTCCTTTTATCACTGGACACGAAGAGATGGATTTGCCCGTGTATGTAAGTTTCGATGGTTTTTATCTTTGCGAGTGATGGCTGAAAGCGACACATTTCGCTCAGCTCACCTAAGAACACATAACACTCTACCTCATTCACACCACACACTTAAAGAAAGCAATTTATTAACCTAAGGTTGCTGCTTTTTTACAACAGGTAGAGACATTAATTTGATATTGGCCCGAAAATAAACCTAGAAATTGGCCATTCTTCAATCTTCATTTTAACTGGATATTTTATGGTCTTTTTAAACCTGTCCTTTTTTCCCAACAGCCTTGTTTACTGGTTAATAAAACGTTTACATTTGAAAACCAAGATTCTTAGTGTTAAAAATGTTTGCCAGTCAAACCAATTTATCAATAAAGAGAAGATTAGAACTCACCGGTTAACTTATAGGGTGTTAGTTGACCCATTATACTGTGATGCTTCTGAGAAAATGAAGAATGGATTCAGAGTATTTCCTTTTACCAGATAATTATAAAGAGCTTTTTCAAAAAATCACATTTCTGTCCCTTCCCATGAGCATGTATCAACACCCAGAAGGACTGCACCTTCAGTTCAGCGTTGACTGGGACTGAGTAATAGCTGAATTTAGAGGGACGAGGGACAATTGAGGGACAAACATGGTGTGGACCGGTTTTGTCAACAAAAACCTCTAAGTTTTTTCAAACTTTGGTGTTCATCAGAATCCCCTCATTATCAGATTTTGATTCTGTCTTAGGTTCGAGGTTGGGTCCAGGCATCTATTCTTGTCAAGCTCCCCCAGATAATTCTCACCCCAAAGTGTGAGAAACACACTTGGTTTGGTCCTAACATGGCCTATTAAGATTTCTAGAATCAAAAAAGTCAGATTACTGTCATGTCTGCTTGTGGCCACTGAGCCTCTTGATTCAAACGCTGAAAAGCAAACTCGTTTCTCAGCCTCCCTTACTGCTAGAGCCTGGGCTAAGCCAATCACGTGCCCACATGGGATTGGGACTCCCAGGGCTGAAAAGTGAAGAAACAGACATTCCCAGGATCATCTGGTGGGCATGATGGTGAAGGGGGCCGGGTCCTCGACGGCAGCCAGTACAAGCATGGCACTTCCGGTAGCCAGTACAAGCATCACCGGCGGGAAGCACCATGTCGGAGCCCCACGGAGAGGTGTGGTGTGGAGCGGTGGTGGCTCTGGCCCTTCTCTAGAGGAGCACGGCAGTGTACTTGGCCAGATCCCCGGTTACACAGCTTCTGGGCCCACTTAAACTGGCCAGATACATTTTCTTCACGACCGAGAGCCCTGAGTAGCTAAGGGAGTTACACTACGCTAGGTCAGAGCGTAAACTTTGGAGACGGCAGCCTGGAATCAAGTCCGCGCCCTGCCACTAGCTGTGTAAACGGGAAAGTTTCTTATCTCAGCTATAATTTGTCTTAAAATGGCAACAATACCTTATAGGGCATTATGAAAATTGCATGAGATGACACATTTAGGCAATTAGCACAAAATCCAGCAATAAATGATGGTTGTCATTATTGTAGACTCCTGGCTAGTAGGCTCACTCAGACAGCTTTTGTAGACAGACATACTCATTTCTTACGACCTCAGAAAATTCCTCATTAGGACTCTTGGAAGCACGTGATAGAAACCCAACTCAAACTGGCTTAAGCAAAAAAAGATCATTTATTCACGTCCAGAAGGTAGCCCTGGTTTGAGGTACAACTGGATCCAGATGCACGAATTATGTCACCAGGATTCTTTCCTGGCTCCTCAGCCTGCTTTCCTTTGTGTGGACCTCACCGTCAGGTGGGCTTTCCCGGAGGTAATGGACATGGATTGCAGCACCTCTAAAGTGACATCAGCTGAGCAACCCAATGAAAAGAAAGCTGCCATTCCCAGCCAAAGCCCAAGGTCTGATGCTAATTGGCTCCAATTCCAGCCAAAGCCCAAGGTCTGATGCTAATTGGCTCAAAAGACCAGCTTTGGGTACTTGTTCCCCCTGAACCAATCATGCGGTCAGGAGACACACACCCAATAAGTAGCCCAGGCTGGTTCACATCCTCAGTGATGGAGCCAAAGGGTGGGTTAAGCCCGATCTAAACCAAATAGCCTGAGACTTGGAGGCCACGCTCACTGGTATGAGCCGCCATGTCGGGGCTGATCTCACAGAGTAGGATTCACCCAGCAGACCTATATGCCTGTTGAGACCACCCTTCAGGTTTGCTGCCTGTGGGGCTCATCAGGTGGTGCTCTGTTGTGGTCTGACACCAGCCTCCAGGTATGTTGGCTCTGGGATCCTTTGGGAGGGGCTCCCG